CCAAACCCTAAACCCTACCCTAAGCTATCTACTTAAGGGGGACTCTAAGCCCAGGCCAGGCCCAGGATCTTCCAATCTTGATTGGGGAGCCCTTCGCGATTACTGCTGCGGGCAGTGGGGAGAAGCTTGGTTGGCGATTTTTTGAGTTGGGGGTCAGGGTTTAGGATTTAGGGTGTAAGATTTCAGGTTTAGGATTTAGGGTGTAGGGCGTAGGGCTTAGGACTTAAAGGCTTAGGGCTCAGGAGTTTAAGTTTTAGGGTGCCGGTTTTCAGGTACATACCCAGCGGCCCCCTAGATAGGAGAGACCCTCTAAAAACCGCGGGGTTCCCTAGAAAGCGTTCTGGTTGATCCCAATAAACCCAAAACCCAAACCTCTAAACCCTACCGTCCTTCCTAGCCGTCTCTGCCCTAGCTTTACAGGTTGGGTTTAGGGATTTGCTGTGAATGTTTTGTTGTGTCGTATCCTGTATCCTAGAGTCCATTCCCATGCAAAAGGCCGTAACAAGTCCAAAAAGGAATTTCATACGAGCCTATCCCTAACGGTCCATCATACAAGAGTCATGTACGTTGGTGTTCTTACAGCATGAATCGTTACTAAGAATTTGGGGAGTACATGGTGACTGCATACTTTTTGCCCCTAGGGTACGGATAACAGTTCAAATAGGATCGTGGTATAGAGACGATTTTTTTTGCTGCAGAATTCCCCTAGCAGGGCCTCATTACCAAGATGGTGCTCGCGCTTTTCAGCCTGAACGGTCCAAGTTCCTAATGAGCAAGTAATTTGCGTATCAAGCATCTATGTAAGAACCCCTATATGGGCACCAGCATTCGGAACCTGTCGTCTTGCGTCTTGTGAGCGCCACCCCTAAAAAACACAGGGGAGTTGGTGCACGTGCTTGTTCTCTTTTAGCACCCGCATGGGGCGCACCATACGCCCGATTACAGGACAAGCTTAGAGCTCCCTCTAAAACTTTCAAAGCCCTGCATCCTCAATCTTAAGGCCCTTCACATCCCTGAATCAGGAAATTTGACAGCCTCAACGCTGAACAGTTCATTCTCAGCCGTCTAGCCCTATACTCCGCATGCTGTCACTTGAGCTAGAATGAGAGAGAGTCGATGATTTGGAGTCCCTTTGGTGCTCTTGGTAGCCCGAAATCCGCAGCAAATATTTCAGAGATATCCCCATCAAGAGCCTGGACACACGTAGCAGGCAATTTGACAACTTCGTTTATAAACGCCTCTCATGCCAATCCGATGCCCCACATGCTTGCGCAATCAAAGCCAATCCTGTAAGTCCATGTGCAATTCTTACATGAGCCTTGAGCTCAATATTCAATGTATTTCTCCAAGAGCTTCAACCGCGATTACTATCAAAAAGGCAACCTTAAACCCTAAGCTCAATTATTTGGTACTTGGACACTTTGGGCTTTTGCAGATCGGCAAACAACCCTGAAAATCTGAAATTGAACAAAAAACCTACAGCTTCAAACCCTGATTATGCAGTCTCCCCAGTAATTATTCTTTTCAAGGTTATCCTTACTGATATTATTGCTCTTATTACCATTACTTTTACTATTACTACTGCTATTATTTCCCTTCTCGTTTTACTGTTTTTAGTATTATAGCCCTAAGGAATCAATAAACAGGTTGCTTTTTATAGGCATCGAAGGCTGGGGGGCTTGCAGATTGGTGTCATTCGTCTGAGTCCTACGATACATGTACTGTAGACTCACCCAAGTTGCATTTTGCATGTGCAGTCCCCTTGTCCTGGAATTACTCTCCTACAGCCCTATACCCTACACCCGAAACCCTCAAACTTGAACAAGGAAAGGGTCCTGGGAGCAGAACATCCGCTCGCAGCTTGGGAAACTAGGCAGTCACACGATTATGGGGGCTCGGCAGGGTTACCAATTTCCCTAAACCCTAAACCCGAGACCCTAAACCCTCAACCCTAAACCCAAAACCACTATAACAGACTTTGGATGATACAGGCTGTCCATCAACGGTTTTAGAGAATCATCAGGTGGGGGGCAGCAAGAGATACCTATTGTAGGGGCCTAAACAGTTGCCCACGTTATAGTCGTACATTCATTGTATATTGATAGTATGGGGTACCTCAAGCTGACATTTTGATCCTATGCTTACAAACCCCCGCATGAGCCCCAGCTTCCATGTCATCTCACACGTGATTCCGACTCCTATATAATCCCTATAACCCTACACCATCCCTGGTAATATCCCTAAATGCCTTATAGCCCCTATATGACCCAGAAAAACTACCTGTCCTATGCAAACCCAGTACCCATTTAGTCCTTGTCCTTAACCCTAAACCCCAAACCCTGTACCCTGAACCCTAAATCCTGAAGGACAGTTTGTCCTTGCATGCAATGCAGCGATTTGACCCCAAAGACCCAACCTGTGAAGCATTAGGGATATTATCTGTAGGGATAGGGAGCATGTAGCCCTAATCCCTGAACAGTATGGTGTTGCATAGGGTTCAGTCATATTACCAGTCAAAATGGCAGAATGGCAGAATCAAGCGGAAAAAAGCATGGAACATGAAGTGGAAGCATGGAAACTAAAGTGGAAACTCTGCTTAACTGCCGGGTAGCTTGATACCTCAGAACAAGGAACATGCCAAAACATTGGGTGCAAGATACAAAGCCCGTTTTGGAGTGTCTAAGATTTAAGGTTTAGTGGCTGAGGGTTGAGGGTTTCGCGCCAAACAAATTGCAGTGCGATAGATTTCCCCCCCCCCCCAGGCCCATGTGTCCTGCTTAACCTGGAGCCTACAAATTTCACTATGTCCTCAGTCAGCAACTACGACCCTGGACTGAGATCATCTTGAAATACATCCTAAGTGTGCTAGTTAGCATGGAATCGTGTTTTCAGCCACCATTGTTGAGCCTTAAAACCTTTCCTACAGAACCCAAGTCCACGCAAACTCCTGCAGCGAACAGGAATGGTGTGGAAACAGATGTGTGCGTATATATATGTATATTTATATGAGTAACTAATCACCTTTCAGCTACCCAGCTGTAGTGCGCCCCTGTGTGAGCCGAAACAGAAAACAAACTATGCCAAGAGCCCAGGAATGATCGTCCCGGTGCAGTTCAGGTGGTTTCGCAAGCACAGATGGCTTCTCAGACGGCACAAGCACTGCAAAACCAATGAAAAGAATCCATCATATCCGCAGCTCCAGAAAATTTGTGCAGAATTCTGCTAGAGTTTAGAGGCCTCACCGGGAAGCCAGTCAGCCAGAATCGCAACGCAACCTCAATCCCATGCTGGCCCTCAGTGGCCGAGGAAGTCCGCCCAGCATTTAGGGTTGAGAAACTACTATAGTATCTTGGGGTTTTATTGGGATAACGGAAAATACAATGGGAACTACTATAGTATATTGGGGTTCATGGACGAGAACATGGAAACTACTATAGTATACTGGGGTTTCATTTTTTGTTGCAATCGTGCAGGTGGGATTGCGGGGGCCATGCACCATACCGGCGTGAAATTGCGGCGCCGCGAAATCGCAGGCCATAGACTCTTAGACCCCAATGTAGATGCAAAAGAACCCTCCTATCCCATAAGCATAACCATCAAGCCCTAAATCCCTAAACCCTAAATCCCTAAACCCCAAATCCCTAAACCCTAAGCCCCTAAACCCTAAATCCCAAACCCTAAACCCCTAAAGCCTAAACCCCATGTTCGAAATCTTCTTCCCTGAGGCCCCAGATCCTGTTCCCCGAGCCGTGAAACCCCAGGAACGACTTAGGGTTCAGGGTTTAGGGTTCAGGGTTTAGGGTTTAGGGTTTGAGGTCTAGGGCTTGGGGTTTAGGGTCCTGGATGTCCTGCCTTGTTGTATATTGCGGATATTTTGGGATAGTGGAAAAGAAAATGGAAACTACTATAGTATACTTGTTTTTTTTGTTTTGTTGTGCGAGGAATTATATGGAATATGCTTACAAAACCGCCAAGCAAGGAAGGACATACAAGGTCACCCCCGCCAAAAAAACGAAAAAATCGGAAACCAAAAGCCCCATAAATCCTGATAGCTCTCCCTACACTCATGTATAAACATATATCTACCCAAGTCGACCCTAAACACCTAAAACCCCTCCCAATCATCATAAAAAGGTCCAGAAATCCCAGGCCTTGTGGGCCCATGGCGTAGACCACGGAATCGTCGTCAACATCGGGCAAGGCTGGGGACGCTACGGTTGATAAAAGGGTTTTAGGGTTTAGGGATTAGGGTTCAGGGATTAGGATTGAGGGATGTTACCTCCCAAGAATGGCGAGTCAAATCGAAAAGAAAACCCACCATGAAATGGAAACTAAGGTTCTATAGGTTTATATAGAGTTTATACCAGAAATCGTGTACGACCCTAAGTACTCCAAATCTTAGGCTCCGAAATATAGTGCTACACTATACTAGGGTCATGCACTGAGGACTCAACACAGCCACCACTGCCGCAGTGGGCCCTGTATCACCCAAAGTCTGGGCGGCATAATGACAGCTTTTTGTCTCCTTGGGACTTAGCTTGGACCTTAGACCCTTAACCCTTTGGGATTCCCTTATATTCCTATTATGGGTACCAAAGGTTTAACCTTTAGTCGGGGTCCTAAGTGCCATGTAGTTGTGTCAGATCAAATTTCCAGAAGCTCCTGAGCACAAGCTTGCTCTTTTCCCATGAGGAAGCTGCTTACCAAACCACGGAACTTGAAACAGTCGCGGTTCATATGAGCTATAGTCTACACTCCATAAAGGGGAGTCATATAGGGGAGTGTTATCGGGGTTTCCAAGGGGGATACAACGACTTCAGAATATAGCTCCTATAGGAATATGAAGCTTAGTAAGCCCTGAACTCCTCAAACGTTTATGTAAATCGGGAGTTCTTCAACCCAACCACCCCCCCAGAGCCTACCAAAGCCCTAGGTCCGTAGCCCTAAATTTAGTCTGACAAAAACATTGAAACCTAGGCGCTTAATCCTAAACTCTACTGTATTTTCCATTTTCTTTTCCATTCTCTAACCCTAGGGGTCCAAGGACCC